CTTATCGTCCTTGGTAATTAAAACTCCAGATAACCTTGAAGAAATTAAGTTAGGATGCGACAATTTAGACCAAAGAAAATAGGTTGCATTGATTGGTATCAGGTGAGTGATCTCAGCCATGTTGTATATACACGTCATGTATGTATATGTATGTGGATATATTACACACACACACACACACACACATATATATATATCTCCATTTCTCAATCCATCTAATCAGGCTGGGAATCCGATCTTCAACGTGGTCCAGTTAATTAGGCTTATGCGGGGCAGCTCACATGCATGGTGTTATCAGGAATGACCTACCAATAGACACGGCTATGTATATGATCGCAAATGGCCATTGACGAAGCTTGCTTTGTATGAAACAGAATCTAAATAGAACTTGGGTATCCAGTAAAAAAAAAAAAACAATAATTTAAAAAGATAAGATACATTGTTGGACCATTTATCAGAGGACACACACTAGTATAATCTATGTTGATGATAGAATTGAAGAATTAGATTCTCCTTGTGTCGTCGACACTCACAGCCACCATGTATGTGGTCACAGATTTTGACATGCCATGGACCACCGTGACTGGCAAATGGAGTGCATGCATAGACCAATTGACCAACACATGGGTTCAAAATAGATGGTCTAGTTATGTAGATACCAGTCATTTCGAGTCTGCTTTTATGAGTAATTAGGTGGGTAATGAATTTCCTGCCTATTGCTTCTGCATCTGTACAACCCATATGTCAAACTCAAATGGACTTGGGAACTCAAACTTCCTATTCATCTTTTAGTTGGCGCGCAATGAAGGAACCCTGTTGTATCTACTACTACGTACAATATTGACTAAAAATTTTATGAGGTAGGGGTCTAATTGAGATAACATAATAGATAGGCGGCAAAGTCTATATTCATATAAAAACAAAATAGGGGTTATTGCCCAATTGTCCAACTGCGTAATTTCTAAAAGTACTAGGATATTTAGGTACGCGTGATGAACATTCAATACTCCTTGATTTGATATGGGGTCCCATGATCAACATGATGTGTTCGGTGTGTTGGCATTTGTATTGCCTTTGCCGACGACTGCTCTTGATGGTGGGCCTAGAGGCCCAAATCCAATCGAATGCATCTGCAAAACCTGAAACTTCCGTCCAAAAGAACTGACCCTTTGAAACTTAGGGCCCGATTGATTCACCTAAAAATGAATACATTAGCATTAGTAATATATATATTAGTATAAACTAATACATTCTGTGCAAAATTGGATTGAGTAAAAAAAAAAAAGGCCTGCCACAAAATCTTGAAAATGTTGGGTAGTTTTAGTGGGCTTAGCTACACTGGTCCAATTGAGTTAGTTATACCGGAGATCTCAATTTTCAATTCAGATTTCAGAGTTCCTTTGCAACGTGGCCTTTGGGCAAGCTTGAACTTGTTTGTTGCATGCACCCCATTTATTTCAATCGAGTAATTCATATTTGAAATTGCAATCACCAATTATTGAACAGTTTCTTTAACCTTATAAAATAAAAATCATAAACTAATCCTTCCCTGTTAGATGCCACATCAGCACTGTGTTAACTATGTCATTAATAATATAATGTCAACATATCTCTATAATATCTATATATAATGAAATTTTAAGTCACAGTGAGTGTTGCGACATTCACCTATACAAATAGCAATATTCACGTATACATGAAACAGGTCGAGGACATCCCTATACAAATATACAAGTAACCTAGTGTTTGACAACCCTATTCTTCATATTCTAATAGTATAGAAAATATATAATATTAAGTACCTGGCCAACTAATGGGCCAGTGGCCTAATAGTATCAAGCTCTTACTAAAGGAAGATTAGGAGTTCAAGCTTTTTACCGAGAGTTTTTTTTTTTTTTTTTTTTGTCCAACTAAACAAGGATATCAAGTAGAGATAATATATGTTGTATGTAATATATATTGGTAATGGGCTCCTATGTTTTTGTAAAACATTTTGGGTATTCTTCAAGTATGTAATATATATTGGTAATGGGCTCCTATGTTTTTGTAAAACATTTTGAGTATTCTTCAAGTATGTAATATATAATGGTAATGGGCTCCTATGTTTTTGTAAAACATTTTGAGTATTCTTCAAGTATGTAATATATATTGGTAATGGGCTCCTATGTTTTTGTAAAACATTTTGAGTATTCTTCAAGTATGTAATATATATTGGTAATGGGCTCCTTTTTTTGTAAAATATTTTGGGTTTTCTTCAAAGAGCTCGAAATGCCCAAATTGAAATTTTGGGTCCCATAGTTTCAATGGTGGTCCGCTCCTGCTAGTGATTTGCCAATGTTAGTTCTTGGTTCTTTACACGAAGCATTGCAGAAGATATATATATATATATATATCATTCGTGTTGGGTCATTGCTTGATATCCAATGATAGACTTTAAAACAATTATTTCATACAAAAAATAATTTCAAAGATTTCGATGCGAAACAAGACTCCCGTAACACAAGTTTTCTTCACCTTCCAAGTTCAACGTTGGCGTTCACGAGACGAAAATGCTCTCGTTTGTTTGAAATGCGAATGTGCATTTCAAATCTCAACTCTTTACTATTCAAATCTGACCCACCCCACATAACAAAAGTTACTTGTCCTTCCCATAACTCCAAAACTCTCTCTATCTTCCTATACATATACAGACATGTCAACTGCATCAATTGTTAACATCGAATAGTCCTAAATTGAATTTTCAAGGTATCTAAACACGAGCAAAAATTCTCTGCGTGTACTTATACAAGTTCGGTGGCATGGAATTGAATTGAGATTACTTGTCAACATATGTATTAAAAAAAATAAAAAAATAAAAAAAAAAGACACAGCTTAAACAAGCATAAGACTCTAGAACAAGAGAAAAATTTTATTGCCCTGTTGCTTCGTGCAATGAACGCATTCAACCATTTATTATTGGGCTAGTGTAATATACGCGTGAACATGCATATTACATGAAAAATCTGAATACTTTTGTTGTATGGTGTAACTGACGTAATAAAATTTATCTTGGTAAAAAACAAATGATTATGATCAAGTTAACCTTGGTGTTAGCACTCTCATTACCGCACGTATCATATACTAATATAGTATTACCACTGCTGAGAAAGCAGAGTACCTTTCTGTTTTGCACTTCGCAGTTCTGTACAATAATATGCATGTTGATCATATGTGCATGTCAGAATGTTTATCCAAAACATAAAGATATACGAGCTAGGATTTCAATTCAGGGACATAGCGTAAAAATAAAAAAAATCGAACAAACATGAAAATAAATAAAAAAAATTCAATTCCACAAGACAAAAAATAAAAAAATTATTGCAAAACAATATGCTAAATCAATTAGTAATATAAGAAATATAAGTAGTTGACTATAAGAACTAAATTTTTTTTTAGTAATTAATATTTTCATTGAATATAGTTGTAACTCTTTGTATTTTGAAAATGACGCATGAAAATTTCATCCATTGGTGCAAAAAAAAAGAATTTTAAGTAGAGAAAAAAAAAAGAGAATAAAAAGGAAAGAAAAATATAAAGATATTTGAAAGAAAAAAAAAAAAAAAAAAAGACTGTGTAACTTTTGAAAAAAAAAAAAAAAGGACTGTGGCCAAAGGCCCAAACACAGGCTCAAGCTGGAGGAAAGGCCCAACTAAACAAGAATATCAAGTAGAGATAATATATGTTGTATGTATAATATATCTTGGTAATGGGCTCTTTGGGTTTTCCTCATGGAGGTCGAAAGACCCAAATTAAAAATATGTTTAGTTCCTTTCTTCTTTTCACGAAGCATTGGGCAGAAACATATATCATTCGTGTTGAGTCATTGCTTGATATCCCCAATGATAAACTTTCAAACGATTATTTCATACAAAAAAAAAAAAAACATACTCCTTTCCAATTTAACTGTCACTTATGAGGGGAGTAAATTTTAAAGAAACACATGACCCATGCATTTCTCTCTGAAAAGCTACTAACTTGTTTTTTTAAGTTTTGATTCAACTTTAAAATTTTAAACTAAAAATAATATATATGAAAAAATATGAAATATATTATTTGAAAAAGAAAAGTGGACTACTACCTATTATTTTGGTGCAAATAAAAATAAAAAAAAAATATGACACTTATTTTGAGACAAAAAAAATAACTAACTCGTTATTAGAACCATGAATTTGGTCGGACAGACTTTTTGGGAAACCAACAATTAAATAGTCCGATTCTGAAGAGGCCGGCGGGCCGTCACGAGGCGACTATGCTCGCATTTGTTTGAAATACGAATGATTCTCAATTCTCAAGTCTTTTACTATTCAAAAAACTCATACTGTTCAAATTGGACCCACCCGACAGCCCATGACTAAAGTTTACTTGTCCTTCCCATACCTCCAAAACTCTCTCTATCTTCCCGTACACACACAATAGGAAGAAACAAAAAAAAAAAAATACGAGCCGCCTACGTCAATTGTTAGCACCGAACAATCCTAAATTGAATTTTCAAGGTATATAGACACGAGCAAAATTTCTCTACCGTGCGTTATACTTTTCAATTGACTTATGCTAAGTTTGATTGTATGAAATTGAATAGAGATTACTTGTCAATATATGTATTAGTGAAAATACAAAAAATTAAAAATAAAAAACCAGCTTAAGTGAACATAACTCTAGAACAGGAAATGATTGTAAGAGTTAACCTTGGAATTAGCACCCTCACCACTACACTAATCCATACTACTACCGAGAAAGCAACAGCAACGGTACCTAAACCATTTGCAATTTTCTGTTCTTTAATATTTAGCAGCACACGGTTTGACCAAACCTTTAAATGGGACAACAGCGCAATAGACGGTAAGTAATACACTTACGCGTTTCAATTTTAACCGCCACGTGTACAATCTTATCTTTTTCCCCTCACACGTGACTTAACCTCTTTATAAACTGCACAGTACCTCTCCACGAGAAATCCACCAAAGCTACTTTTCATCATCACTCTAAAACACTACTCTCTCTCTCTCTCTCTCTATCCAGCAGAAAATGGCAGCCAATCTTATAGCATTCAGACCTGTCGGAGTTCAAGCATGCGCAACCTCCAGCCACCGCAAGACTGATCTGCGCGCCAAAAATTCTTCCTCTAATTTCTGGACGCCGCTGTTCGGGTGGTCCTCCGAACCGGACTACATTGATTCCGAGAATAACTGCAACAACGAGGAGGTGCCAGATTTCACAGCGAAAGTTGAGGCCAAGTCGGACTCGGTTGTTGACCCGAAACATCCCAGATCTCGGTTCGCACCGGGTTGTTTCACGGAAGAGAAGGCAAAACAGCTCCGGATGATGACGAAGGACACGGAGTCGTTTCACGACATCATGTATCATTCCGCCATCGCTTCACGCCTTGCTTCCGATTTCTCGAACAGGCCCAATTAATCTGTAATTTTTTGAAACGGCCGTCTCGACAACTATCTCTTTCTTTTATTTTTTTGTCCCCAAAATTTAGAAACTGAGATGTCAATAATCCGATGATGTGATCATCAAATGATGTATGATTTAGTTTTAATTTTGTATATGTAAAATGTGTATGTATAGCAGTACAGATTCATAGCTACTCCTATTTGAGTTTTTGATCTGTGATGATGATCGTGATGGCTTATTCATTCATAATTTTCATCTATTGTTTAATAAAATAATTGAAGACATTGACATAAAGCAGCGTTAGGCGTTGGATGACAGATCAACGACACTAATGTTGCATAACTTCGTATTTAGGGGAACGGTTGGATGATCTGGGTCCCATTACATGTCTACTCCTGGTCGTACCATTTCGACGGTTTTGATGTCTGCAGTATGTGGCATTGGACCATGTGGGTCCACACAGGGAATGGTATGATGAGCATGGAAGCCCATCCATCGACATGCTCAGTTTATATATTTTGGGTTCGGAGTCATTTCTGACTCGGATGCAAGAACTTTTTAGACAAGACAATAATCTAATATCATCACTGGTGTGTTGGCTACGCTTCTTTGTCTGCCCTTGTGGGTCGCTTTTTTTATAGTCACGCTTGGTCAGTATAATGGTGTACCTGGTTTCTCTTTCTGGTCTTTTTCTCTACTCACTTTCATTTTCTTTTTGACCTGTTCCAATCATAAGTTTCTTTATTCTTCTTGGAGTGAGCGGCATCTGGAGTGGTTTCTTGGGTGCTTTTTGTTCTTTTGGTGGGCTATGGAGTGGATGATGGTAATGGATCATACTATCCTTGCTCAGTTTCAAGGTATGACCCTGACTCAACAAGAAGGAGCCAATTGTGTCGTCGGTTGATGATATAGCCCATGCTCATTTCAAGGTATGACCCTGACTCAACAAGAAAAGGAGCCAATTGTGTCGTCGGTTGATGATATAGCCCAGAGTGATCACCTATGCCACTCTAGTCTCTTTGGGAAGGTGTGGGTCTCAAAAATTACTATCTTAGAGCATCTCCAATGGAGCTGCCACATGGGCTACCAATTCAAAATATAGTAAGTTGGTTTAAAAATAGACTCTTCAATGCAATGCTATTTTGGTTGCTATTTTTTAACTTTACTATTTCTTATGTCAATTGCAGCACAAGAAATAGCAGTAGCTATTTCATAGAGAGATAAAGAAAGGGGGGGTTCAGATATATATATATATATATATATATATATATATATATATTGTGTGTGTGTGTGTGTTTATGATCATAAAAAATTTCACCAAATAAGAATTAGTTTGCAAAACAAGAATTACAAACTTTGATTACAGAAAAAAAAAAATAAAAAAAATAAAAAAATTACAGACCTTGATCATAAAATAGAATTATAGAAAAAAAAATTAAAACAAAACCCATACATACAAGTTAGCAGTTGCAGAGAAAGGGGAGAAAGCTTGAGATAGCGGCTGAAGCTTGCGAACGCGAACCCAAATTGGAACAACGGGATATGGAAACTGAAAGATATGGGTTTTGATTTTTTGAACAATCAGAAATGATATGGCCGATATGGGTTTTGATATAGCTAATAGGTTTTGGATTTTTGATTCTCGCAGACAGTAAGATAAAGTTAAATATATGGGTTTAAAACATCTTATTCTTGTAGATTATGTAGTTTGCGGTGGCAGAGGGGAGGGGAGGGGAGGGGGGGGGGGGCAATTTCAGAGTTGTGAACAAGTGAATAGAGATGGAGGCAATTTGTGAGGCTGAAATGATTTGCCCTAAAACTATATATATTTGGGAGGCTGAAATGATTTGCCCTAAATATATATATATATATTTTTAATATTAATATAATCAAATATATATAATATACATATATATATTGTATATATATATATATATATATTTTTTTTTTTTTTTTTGTCTTTTTTTGACCAGATATTTTAGATTTTTGATTCTTTTTAATTAAATTTAATTTTAGTTTCCTTCTAATATCTACAACTTGACTTGGAATGTGCCTAATATTAACATTACTGATGCAAATATGAATGGTGGAAATGGTAGTTGAAAAAGAATAGTGGTTGTGTTAAAAAATAACATTTTCATCGTTGGAGCAGAATTGCTAAAATGTACCATTTTAATACTGTAGCGCTGTCAAAATATAGATTTGGTATCCGAATTTGGCATTTTAGCATTGGAGATGCTCTTAGTGGGGGGCAAAGTTTACCTTCGGTAAACTCTTTAACAAATTACGGCCTAAAGCTCAACAATAGGATGCTCTGTCCAAACGGTTGTAGGTATTCAAAGTCGCACATAACTTGTTTCAGCTGATTATCCCAGATGCTAGTATTCGTCAGCGTATACTTGTTGGGTGTCCATGGCTTTTTGATGGCCATCTTGTGGTTGCTTGGGGATTCTTATCATTTGGGGTCCTCCCAGTCTTTTGCTACTAAGTTAGCTCTGTTTGTGGGTGCTAGTACTCCCATTTTTAATGACAATGTCTAGTCTGTTTGTTGTCCTGATAGTGGTCGTGCTTTAGTAGGGGTGCGTTTGTTTTGGATGGTTTTGTGGTCGTTTTTGCTTTAGTCTATGTCTTAGGGTCTTTATCTACCTATGTTTCTCTTTTGTAGTGGTGGTTGTTCTTCTATAGCTAGCACATTTTCTTTGGATTGTCAAGACTGCTAATCTTGACTATAAGAGGTGCTAGTTAGTTTTCCGGATGGTTTTGTGTATGTTGGTGTTTATTGTTTTAATTCTATGCCTGTGATCGATGTTCTTATTTGTAAATGTCGTATGGCATTTGGCTTGTTTCTTACTAGGGTAAAAAAAAAAAAAAAAAATCCTGTACCATATCGAATAAACATTGATCTTGTTCTCGATCACATAGCACCTTATAGGTTGTGTTTTGTTATTTTAATTCTAATAATTGATTATGGAGAAATTCTTAAAATGGTATGCAATTTGTATTTTTTGTTTTGGTGAGATACTATAATATTGAACAGTGAAAAAAAAAATATTTGGTAAAAAGTGTTTTATTTTGTGACACGTTTAATGAATAATGGTCAAAAATTGAAACACCAATTTGATATGTTACTGCAATATTTTTTTTACGAAAAAAAAAACTCTTAAATGACATTTTTAAACAAACCATTATATTTTCAAACCTGTAATACTTTTATAGCAAATATTTTTTTTGTTTTTAAAAAATTTTGACGTCACCAAACATTCTTCTGTTTACTATTCAAAATAGTTTACAACAAAACACTTGTTTTGTTTTATTTTGGATTAAAAAAAAAAAAAAAATGTATACTAAATAGCCCAAATTAATAATATATTGACACCAATGATTTGGTATCAATATTGCAGTTGAGAGACTTCTAATTATGAAAATGGAGGAGTGGGCAAAAAGATAGGACTGCAACTTCGGTGGGCTAACAGTGAGCTTAGCATGAAAATTTTCAAAATTAACAGCATTTCTTAAATTTCAAAATTGCTTTTTCTATTTGGAATATGTGACAAACCATAACGATGCAACCTTATCACGCCAATGCCAGCTCTCAATAGTTATATTATAAAATTGGTCGCATGCACGAGAATGGGTGCTTCCACAAAGCACCATCTGATCATTTCAAGACAAGCCCCACCAATTAAAATTTTTTATTGTTTTTTCAAAGCAAAAGGCCCACCAATTTAAATCAAAATCTCACTTTCTTAGACCCTAAAACATGAACAAAGCACCATTTGCCGCAAGACTCGAACCCTAATTTCCTCTCTCTCCCCGAGGATTAAATATTTTATATTTTGGATTGAACTCAAGTTGAGTGTTAGAGTTGCTTTAGTTATTCTTGGACTTAAAATCCTCTACCGTAAGTTTTGAAAGTAGAAAGACAACACTAAATCACATATCTAAGTAATTTGTTTGTATTTCTTGAATAAACAAAATTCAAATAAAGTAAAGGTTCAGTTTTATCTCAAGACTATTGACATAATCGAGTGGAAAAAACAAATGTCGCAATGTTTTTGAATTACAACTAAGAATTGTAAGATCAAGTTTGTAATTATTGTGAAACGTACAAATGAATTTGAATGGCCATTGTGTTGCTTTCTGATTTGAATGCATTGGCATTGCAACCATACAAAAATGTTGTGTGAATATTAGTTTTCATATAAAAACTGGTTATATTAATTTATAGAAATATAAATTTATACGCTTTTTCCTGAAATTGTACAGATTTATATACTTCATGAAAAACATTTATATAAACTATAAACACCTCATAAATTAATACTGTCCTTGGTAAAACCTCAAAAATTAATACTGTATGTCTTACAAATAATTCACCTACTCAATTTGCTTCTATTAAGTTATTAACTTTCACTTTGAAAAATAGATAAGATATTACTGAAATATAAGCCTGATTTTCAATAATCAAGATAAAATAATATGAATGGAAAAAAAGTCCTTTTGTTTTTATTTTTATTTTTTATCAACCCATTTGATATTGTTGTCCGAGCATTTGGTACGAGTTGTTTGGTTTAAATTCGAAATTGACCCGTCGCAGCTTGACAGAATTGTACAAGGGCCAAAAATGGAAAAAGAAAAAAAGAAAAACAGGTGCTGAAATATCTGATGGAGAGAGAGAGTGGCGTCAACTTAAAGCTCTCCTGTCTTTATATTAAACCCTCTTACACTTTGCCGCTGTCTCTCTGCAGTGTGCGGAGAAACTCTTGGCAGACAAATAATTAAATCAAATGGTATGTTTCAATTATAGTCTCTCTTCTAGTTTCTTTGCAATTCTCCAGTTTTCAATCGTTTTCTCACTCTACCCTACGATGTTGTTGATATCATGCTCTTTCGCTGAGGATTATGGTCTAGGGTTTGCATTTATTATCTTTGCTCTCGTATTTTGATTTCGATCTGCTTGTTTTGATTGAAAAAATTTCCTTTTATTTTTATATTTTTAATTTTATATATGCATGGGAATGGAGTCTTAGGGTTTATATATTTATTTTTAAAGCAAATGTTCTAGGTTTATGTATTTTTTCCTTATTCTAATTCTTGATTTTTTTTTTTTTGGTTCGCAGGCTTTACCTAATCAACAGACTGTTGATTATCCGAGCTTCAAGCTTGTGATTGTTGGTGATGGAGGAACTGGTAATTGATTTATAGATTATTTATTCTTTCATTTGGAATCTTCATATTTGTTCCCCTAGACAGTGCAGTAGAGACTTTGAGGGAAAAAATTCATGTAAAATTTTAGCATGGACTGCCTTTTCTGTGATATATTCATAGTCAAAGCTACTCACCGAGGAAAAAAAAAAAAAACCTAATTCAGCTAATTGAATACTTTACTTAATCTTCCCAGTAGAATACTTGTTGACATCATTGGAGCGTTAACAATCTGTTTGATTTCCCAAGAAAAATGAGGGAAGCAAGAGGAAAGTGTCAATGTGAAATCATTTTCAAGAAGCGTTTTTTCATCTACCTCAATTTTTGTAGAAATCCAAATGAGTTGAAGGATTATCAATTTTTTTTCAACCCAGAAGAAATTTACATGTTTACTTTCTATTTGGAAACAACTGGGCATTCAGATGTTTGATATATTTGGTTTCGAGACAGTGGTTTAAATGATGCTGAGTGTTTTTAATTATGCAGGGAAAACAACATTTGTGAAGAGGCATCTCACTGGTGAATTTGAGAAGAAATATGAACGTAAGGAATTTGTTGTGCCCTCTTAGTTATGGTCCTGTTGTTAATTGTTTCATTATTTATTCATGGTTGTATTTTTAATTGGAGAAGGAACATAATGATTCTGTCCTCTCCTTTTGAGGGCTTTTTGTTTTTTGTTTTCAACATGCGTGTGTATTGTTTTGATATGTATTTCTTTGGGTGCAGCAACCATTGGCGTTGAAGTGCACCCACTGGACTTCTTCACAAATTGTGGGAAAATTCGATTTTACTGCTGGGATACTGCAGGGCAAGAGAAATTTGGTGGCCTTAGAGATGGTTACTAGTAAGTGGTTTTTGTCAGCGACTACTATTTTACATTTAGATAGCATTTTATTTGTCTATATTTAGCTGTTCCTTATCAATTATCAAAAAACTTGTAAGTGGGTTTTATATGTTTCCCCTAATGATACCTTTTATGGTTTGGTTTGGAGTTATCATGGCTCGAACACCCTCACAACCAACCAAGCTCCATAAGGTGCTTGACTACTGTGGTATTCGAAACCGCGGTGTGTGCCATAACTTACTACCATTTAAGCACCTATTGTGCCATAACATTTTGAAGTCTGACAGTTATATTGCAAAACGAAACATCAATGCCAAACTATGCATTGGTGTTATTATTTATTTGGGTTGCATGTTTATGGTACATGGGATTTAAATTTAGCTCATAATTAGTAGTTGGTTAGGATTTCTTCTTTTTATTTGTTTTTGTTTGTTTGAAGTAATGCAGATTCATCTTGCTTGCTTGACCATGTTATTTACTTCTACTTCTATCTTGCAGTCAATGTTGGGTCTCTATTCTCGAGTACCATTTTGGTCTATTATGAAATGTAAATGGACATTGGGATTTTGGGCATCGACATGGTTTGCTATTATAGCCCAATTTTTATTTTGGGCATCTACAGGGTTTGGTGCCCTAATACCCAATGGCCGCCAAGTGCAAAGCTAAGTAAAATATGGGAACTCCAATTGAAGAAGAGGGCTTGCAAATTTGTTCAGCATCATCATAATCCACATGTTTGATCATGAAAAGCCAAGAGGATAGCGATAACAACACCAAACCCTGATATAACAATAGGGCAATACCTAGTTAGCAGTGTCTCAAGAGCACTATTATAGTGGCATCTTAATATTAACTTATATACATTCACAAACACAAAGGGAAAAGAAAAGAACCGAAGTACAAACAAGGACAGCATGAATGTATAATAACATGGTCAAGCAAGCAAGATGAATCTGCATTACTTTAAACAAACAGAAACAAATAAAAAGAATAAATCCTGACCAAATACTAATTATGAGCTAAATTTAAGTCCTATGTACCATAAACATGCAATCCAGATAAATAATTAAAACAATACATGGTCTGTAGTTGATGTTTCGTTCTGCAGTGTAACTGTAAGACTTCAAAATGTTATGACACACACAGGACCTTAAAAGGTAGTAAGTTATGGCACTCACCGTGGTTTCAAATGTATAATAACTTGGTCAGTATTGTATGTGTGCTAATGATATGCTTGATAAGAAGAAGCTAAGTCATTTTTTTGTTTAGTGTTGAGATCTTGATATTGCTAGTGTTGGACAATCAATGATTAATTGTCAGGGTTTATTTGAGAAAATGTATAAGAGTATGTTAGTTATAAGGGATTCTCTTGCTGCTTTTCTCACATGGACTTATGGGGCAACATTGCTATATGACCTCACCCCACCACCATCTCTTACAAAGGAAAGAATTGTTTCTTCATCTGTATTTGGGAATTGTTCACTCTATTTTAACTTCTACCAAATTTTACAGCTACATTGCCTAGGATTATTGGGATTTTCCTGACTACAAATCTCCTAGGAATTTGAGTGCATTTCAATGTATAAGACGAGTATCACAAGTTACTACAATGTGGTCTTCTACTCTTGTTGAATACCTTGACTATTGCATGTCAATCTTAATGGAGTACATTTCATTCCTTTTGCTCTGGATAAGTGGAATTGATAATCTGTTTTTTAAGTTTGCTAACTGTGCATCATAATATCATGCAGTTGATTCTAAAATCATTGGTATTAGATATAGAACCTTGGCATGTATACGGAGTGAAAATTGGGGTATCAGTGGTTGGGAGGGAGGGAAAGTGTGAATTTAAAATACGATTGCATATTTTGTAAAGAGCTCCAGTTTATCTTTTTGGAGTCTGAACTTTACAATAAATGAAACATTTTATTTTATACATTAAAAGTAACTAATCTTGTGATGCTAGGGAAGCTGTTATTGGCAAAACTTTATTCGATGGTCCGATGAAAATATAGTAAATTCGCGTCGTGGTGGTTGAATTGTGGTTCTCTCTCGAGGCAAATGACAAATTTTGTGTGCTTCTAACTGTTAACATCTGGTAAATAGGGCCAGTTTATCTTTTTGGAATCTGAACTTTACAATAAATGAAACATTTTATTTTATACATTAAAAGTAACTAATCTTGTGATGCTAGGGAAGCTGTTATTGGTAAAACTTTATTCGATGGTCTGATGAACATATAGTAAATTCGCGTCGTGGGTGGTTGAATTGTGGTTCCCTCTCGAGGCAAATGACAAATTTTGTGTGCTTCTAACTGTTAACATCTGGTAAATTGGGTTTCTTGCACCAGGTGTGAAAAAAGCCAAAATCTCAGTTCATCAATTAATTGATCAAATACTGGCCAGTATCTCACTATCTCAGCTCATGAACTGCCATAGCTAATTTATGTATTAATGTTCTTTTCGAAAGAGAAAATATCAGTTGATTTCAACAAAAGTATCTAGATGGAACTCAAATTGCGAGGATCTAATTTACCTTCTTGTGGAATGAGGCCTGTTATGGGTTCTTTTCCCCTTCTCTTTTCGTTTTTGTTTCTTGTTACAAGATATTCGGTCAGGAATGTTCAGACTGATATTTAAAAAGCAATGTTGTAGGTTTAATAGATTAGTGACGAGCAATTGGAAAATGTATTCAAATGGTTGTTAATCATTTAATCATTTCATTGAGAAGCCAAAGAAATGGATTATATGGTATTTCCCTTGCTCTGAATGACTGGAATGGTGATCTAATTGTGGTTTTATATTGGGTTGTCACAATATCATTTTTCTCTGTTGCATGATTCATCCCATCCAAATTTCTGTCTCATGCTGAAATTACTGATGAAGTGGTTACAACTTGGGTAGGACAGTAACTATCCTTCTATTGTTCTATTTTTCATTTGATATTTGGTGTCATAATTGCGATACTGACATACTGTTCTATTGTTTTTTTATGGGTATTATGTGCTGAGAGAAATAAAGCCTAATAATAATAATGTTTATGATTATTATTAGGGTAAATTGCACTCACACCCCCTGAGTTTTCGGTCAACGCTACTCAGTGGACAGTCAACGCGAGTTTACATTGACACCCTTAAGCTTTCAAAATCTTGCATACACACCCCCTCCCGAACTTAAAAAGACTTAAATGCCCATTAGTTAGTGTCAACAATTAGTTTTTAATTATAAAATGACCTAAATGCCCTTTGACTCATTAATCCACCCTTTCCTTCATTCCATCAGCACGATCACCATCACCCCCAAAGTGTCGCGGCGGCACAAAGCCAGTCCGGTGGACTCCCCACCACGGTGTGGCACCAGATTGAACCTTAATGGATTCTTGTTGACATTGTCATCCGTTCGATTCTCAATCGACATATCCAAATCTCCCAGCCGTTCGATGACTGTCAGGCCGCAAGATCAGATCGGAGCCGTTGAAGGATTGAATGCTGCCGATGACGAACTCCTTGGTTCGAATCGGAGCCGTTGAAGGAGATTGGGTGAAGTGTGCACTAGCAACGTTGATTCAACCTTTGTCACATCAACAGAGGCATAGACTGTGGTGGTGTTGGCACCGCCTCCGCTACGGCCACCGTTGGAGGTATACTGCTCGATTGATTTCTTTGATGAGAAATGGGTCATGCATGTGAGCAATGCCTCATTGAAAGGGCTGTGTGACGATGACATAGCAAGCTTCGGCAGATTCGGCGATCTTGGCCTGGTCGGAGTTGGTGACTTCGACAATTGCTCCGTCGCGAAGCATTTGGGCTAGTCCGAAGGCGTGTTTGGTGTGGCGGTGGTTGTGGTGGTGGTGTGTGTGGCGGCGGTGGTGGTGGTTGAGAGCCTGAGAGGGGATTTGTGTGACGATGACACAACAAGCATTTGGGCAAGTCCGGAGGTGTGTTTGGTGTGGCGTCTTTGGCGTGGCGGTGGTTGTGGTGGGTGTGGCGGTGGTTGTGGTGGTGTGTGTGTGGCGGTGGTGGATGAGAGGGGATTACAGAATAATATGATGAGGGTTATTTTTTTACCTGAGGGTAAATATGACTTTTGAAACCTCAGAAGATGTTATTGTAAATTTGTGTGTTGACCGTGCGTTGAGTGGCGTTGACTGAGAGTTCAGGGGGGGTGAGTGCAATTTACCCTTATTATTATTATTATGATTATTATTTCATTTGTGAATTTATTTCCCCATTTCTTATTTCATTTTGAATTTATGTAAATTTCATCAATTTTTTTGAGATGACTACAATTTTATTACCTATTTTAGCTGCATTGTTAAATTGTTTTGATTAAAATTTATTGTAATACTTCCATGTTGTCGCATCAATTTCATGCTCAATTGTGGTGTAGGGTGTTACCGCATGGAAACATTTATTTCCCCTCTTATATCATTGTTCTTTGTGATTATTGATTTAACGCTCCTTTTTCTATTTGCAGCATTCATGGGCAATGTGCAATAATTATGTTTGATGTTACTGCCCGGTTGACCTACAAGAATGTGCCCACATGGCACAGAGATCTTTGCCGGTGTGTGAAATAAAATTTTGAAATGACTTTCTTCTGGATTCTAAGTGTGATGTAGTTGATCTTCCCTTTTGATTCCTAAATAATGATTACGATCGTTGACTTTTTTTTTTTTGTGGCAATCATAGTGTCTGTGAAAATATACCCATTGTTCTTTGCGGAAACAAGGTTGATGTGAAGAACAGGCAGGTTAAGGCAAAGCAGGTTACATTCCACAGGAAGAAAAATCTTCAGTACTATGAGATATCCGCTAAAAGTAACTACAATTTTGAGAAACCTTTCTTGTACCTTGCCAGGAAGCTTGCGGGGTAAGAAAATTATATAGTATTTTGCTTTTGGTTTTCAATTACTCTGGATCATACCAAATGTTGGTAATTGCTTTTGTGCTGTTAGGGATCCCAATCTCCATTTTGTGGAGTCTCCTGCACTCGCTCCTCCAGAAGTACACATAGACATGGCTGCACAACAACAGTAAGAACTTTGTTCCCACAAAATCTGCTATACTTGTTCTTAGATTTTGTAGTCAACTCTAATAATAAGCAGCTGTAATGATCACTGGAAGTCCTTAAACTTGCAGCTGTGTCATATTAAAAAAATTATAAATGGAAAGTAATCATTTGAATTAACTTTATTAGCACAACAAAAGCAAACAACCTGATTCTTTAGAGAGCTCATTCCTAAAACTGCTAACCTTGAAATTGATCAAAATGAAACATGATTGTGCTACTTGTGTAAAGAGTAATCATACTTAAAATCCTGGTATTGAATTTATTTGGAGGGATTGTGATGGGTGATCGATAGCTTTTATATAAAAAAATCACTTATTAAAAACAAAAGCTTTTATATAAAAAATTGACATGAAAATTGTATTACAAAATCACATTTTATTAAATTAGAAGTGGTAGAGATAAATTGTGAAATGTGATCATATATATATATTTTTTGATAAGTGAAATGTGATCATGTATTTGTGCGCAATTAACAATAAATAGTTCAGGAGATGATCAAGAACACTTGGTTCTTGTGATTTGGTCCTTTGAGTCATTAACCTAGTTTTTTGTTGATAAAATGAGCTACAAGTTTATCTTCCTATTTAGTTTATTCAATAACCTATGGAGGAACCACCATGATTCCATTTATAGATAATAAATAATGCATTATTAAGCAATCACTAGGTCTTTTGGAAAAATTAAGTTACTATATTATACTTATTAGAATTATCTGTATATGTATGTAGAACACACGAAAGTGCAAATGTTCACATAAAGAACATTTTCACATTTCATGTATTGGTCAATGAAAGTGTGAGAAAACAAATAGGTGTAGCACCCATTAATGAGAAAATTTGAGAGAGTAAACTTAAATGGTTTGGGTTAATCGGAGACCTAGTTATGCTCTAGTCAAAAGAGGAAGACTAGTTGTAATAGAAGGCAAGAGGCAGAGTGGGCTACCAAAAATAACATGGGATGAGGTTATTAAAAATGATTTTAGTTAAAGCGAATAACAATGTGTTTTGGGTTAGAGAGGAGGAGGGGAAGAAAAAGAAAGGAGAATCTGATGGGTGCCAAGGAGAAAGTGGAAGATGGTTGAGAGGTCATATCTAGACTATAAGAAACAAAACAACGGGACAAGATTGAGATCGTTGATAAACCTGAAAAGGAGGATTAGAAGATGGATCCAATGACTTCGGAGGCAAACGACGATTAGAAGGTGAATCCAATGGTATTGGAAGGGTAAGAGAAGATATGGAATGCTTCCCCTCACAAATGCTAACGAGATGCTGAAAAGAGAGCATGGGACTTAAAAAAGGTAACTTCTGCACTTACACAGTATCACTGAGATTCAGGACTATAACAACGGTACCCTTTTTAAGAATGAGAATATCGAAGAAAAACGCATGTACGAGAACGCGGTGATAGTTTGTCTCGACCACGATCCAAGATATGAACAGAGTCTACACAACCAAGGACACGAGGAATGAGTTGAAAAGGAGAGACACCAGGAAATAAAAGAGAAATAGAAGTTTGGTTATTCACTACTGCAAAGGGCATGCGATTATTATTGAGATAATAAGCAGTTAGAACATCATCATCCCAAAAATGTTTTGGCACTTGCATATTGAATAAAAAAAGTACGAGCAACGTCCAACAAATGGCTATGCTTTTGCTTAGCAACACCATTCTGTTGAGAAGTGTGAGCACAACTGGTCTGATGAATGATACCACGATCAGCACAAAAGGTTTTTATAAAATAAGCCGTGTATATAAGGCATTATTAGATCGAATAATTTTAATGTGCTTACCAAATTGAGTAAGAATTTCATTGTAAAATTTAGCAACAATACAAGGTAACTTAGATATCTCTTTCATAAAAAATGACCATATCATTTGAGAGTAATTGTCAACAAAGATCACAAAATTGAGGAATCTCTTCATACTGGCGGTTCTAGGACCCCAGATGTCCTTGTGGACTAAATCAAAGGACTCGGTTTAACGTCTATGACAACGATTTGGGAAGGAACTACGATGATGCTAGCCCAACTGACAAGCTTCACAGTCGAGAACAGAGATATGAATTACATAAGATTAGCTAACCGCAACTCTGCTAAAAATAGATGACCCAAACGAAAATGCCACTGAAGAGGAGAGACTGTATGATGTAGGACAAGAGAGCAGCCTTAAATAGCTAAGAACTCAAAGAATTCAGGGTCTGAAAGTTCAAGAACTAGGGCAGAAATTTGGAGTTTGATAGTAGAAATGTAGAAAACCAAAGGAGAAGTGGTTGTTAATTAAAATAAACAGAGCTATGGTTCAAAATATTAGTAGAGAGAACGGATTGAAAACAACAAAAACCTACTGGAATCACACCAACAGGTCCAGGTATCACACCTAGAGAAGGCCTCACACCCTCACAAATTGTGAATCACTGACAAAGAAATCTCAAAGATATTTTTATTCATTCCTTGACTGCCTCAGCAAGTTTACATCATACCCTTCTTATAGCAACTTATGACCCTCAGATTACCCCATGATTGAGGTAATCAAAAGTTGACTCTATAGCATAATAAAAGTAATCACCCCGTAATTGAGGTATTCAATATTTGACTATATAATAAAAGTAATTACTATGGACGGATGTAATTTGATTGAAATTGATGCAAGCTACCATAATTATGCAATTTGACCAAACCCCCCTAATTATGCAAGACTCCAAGTGGACCCATTGTCTAGCATGTGCCAAATTAAGGTTTGAGCCTTAGAACCCTCCTTGCCACGCCTTTTATATACCTTAAAAGGCTGCTGCCACTGTTCTCTATCACTGTCGCACTCAAAGTTGATGGCAAGCCAGGCTAAGGTTCAACTAGGATTCAGATAATGTAACCCATTCTCCTCATGCCTCGAACCAATCACCTTCTTTGCCCCAAGGTTTTGAAAACACGTGAAGTGGGAGAAAAGATTATGGAACAGTGTAATTTTATTGTCAATTGACTTACAAAAAACAAATTAAAAAGAAAATTAGGAACATAAAGACTGGAAGATAATGTTAACGAATTGGTAGGGTGAAGGACACCCTTCCCAAGGATATGGCACGAGGAATCACCAGCTAAAACAATGTGATGATTAATAGGATTTAAATCAGAGAAAAGTGATGATGTACCGACATATGTGAGCTATCTCCAGAGTCAATGACCAAGGTCGGAGAGGATTGAGCCGCACATGCAATGTTACCTGAATTAGTCAAGGTAGCAATAGAAGTGGATGGAAAAGTAGTTTGCAAAGTCTGAATAAGCTTGCTAAGTTGAGTAATGAGTGTATCACGAGAACCAGAATTAGAAACTACAAGTCCAGAAATGCCACAAGGCTGTAGTGGTTTACATTTCTTCTCATGTCGTCCACTAGGATAGCCACCACCACGGGAACCACGAGAACTAGCCCGAAAATAAGATTGTGGTTATTGTCAGCCATGAACAAAATTTAGACAAAAAAAATAAGGTGAACCAGATTGAAAAGCTACTGCCTTAGCACAAGTACTGGTCCAGACTCGAACCAAAAGCCAACAGTGAAGCTGAATTGCAATTTCAAAGGAAAATCCCGAAGCTCCAAGCAACCACAAACAAGTTCAGAATAAATAAAAGAGGTGTCGATTCAGTTTTTTCTTGCATCACGTATCGGTAGTGGATATTATATATAAATATATATATATATATATATATCCTCTTTTTCTTTTTAAAAAAATTGTATGTAAGAAATTGAAAAAGCTTTGGCTGAACGTAATTGGAGAAATACAATGACCTAATAGTTCTATGAATTATTTAATTTTGTATCTCTAATAGTTTTTAATCATTAGATAGTTCATAGTTGAATATATTCTCTTAAAATTTCCTTTTGTAAATTTTTACAGGCATGAGGCTGAGCTTGTGGCAGCGGCTAGTCAACCCCTCCCGGATGACGATGATGATGCATTTGAGTAAAGGGTTTGAACTGGAGAGGCTCCTGACTTTCTGAATTCTTTTTTTGGGCCGTTCACTTTGCCAGGCATTGTCTTATTCCCAAATTTTGAACATTAATTATAGGATTTTGCATATTATAGTTGGGTGCATGTATCAGTGAATGTATCAGTGACCATAGACGGTAGAAGTCATGAACTTCTAACCATTGTTGTTATATGGTTGTGTTTGTTTTGTTCTTAGGCTGTTATATGGTGGTTTGAAGTTTTTCTTTTTTCTTTTTTCTTTCCCTCCCTGATTTTTTACGCCCCACCCCCCCCCCCCCCCCCCACCTCAACACACCACCCACAAACATACTTGTGGAAGCCAGTGGTTAATTCGAAAGAAAGCATGAACATTGGAGAAATCCAACATTTTGCTTTGATCTCTCCCTCTTTGCATTTTTCACTCACTCTCCTATCAACGGACTTGTGCTTCTCTCAAAGGGGCAAGGCTAATTGTATTGAGACTCTTCTCGTCAAGGAGTCTACTAACTGCTACTATGAGTGATGGTACGTATTACCCGAAAAAATGAACATGGTTCCTCCATAATTTTTGGGTTGTGGTGAGCAAACAAAAGGGGCCAATGTCTTCCATTTTTTGTTTCTTGATGTTTGTCTTTATACCAATAGGGTGACTACGACTAGAAAAGTAACACGAACAAAGAAGATATGATCTGTCTGGTTTTGTTCTGTGACTCTAAAACCATACTACACCATTTGTTGATGGTATCAAATTGTGCTCCATACAGCTTTCAGTTTGAGGGTAGAAACACCACAGAAACACTGGAGATATGTGGCGCTCTCTCTCGTCTTTGCAATTGTAGTATTAGAAGACACTTACTCCATTGTTGCCTTACTTGGCCAAAATGACATTTGTTGCAGTCCCTATTCATGTCCGTTTAAATCGCACCTAACTGACCCTTTTGTTGTTGTAGTGCTAGGCTGGGCATCTACATCATTCCAACCAAGAGTTGGGTACGAAATTAAGCTAAAGCGTCTCTGCTACCATGTCAATGTACAAGATGGCAGAGGATGTCTCAAAAGGACAATTTCCAGGGGCCATTGCCACATGCATTTAAGGTATGGGCATTGAGTTGAAGGCATCAGTTATTTTCGCTGTCGGTGGTTGGTGGTTTGATCATCAAAGCCTCTTCTCTTTTCTTTTCGAAAGTCGCCTTCTACGTTACTATCATCCTCTATGAAATCTCTTTCGCTGTGTTTACTTCTTTTCTATGAAATGGCCAGCTATTTGATCATTCTTTCCATTTCCTTTTCGTTGTAGCTGCTCTCTTTTGTTTTTGATGACACACACACACACACACACACCTGTGTTTGTGTATTGATGTATAATGAAATTACGTAAAGTCCCATGGGGGTGTCCATGTAAAAACATGATGTCTAGGTATGATGTGTATGCAACATATATATATGTTGTATTTTTTCATATATATATATAGAGAGAGAGAGAGAGAGAGAGAGAGTGGGGTTAGGGCATTAATAATGAATTGAGATATCTAGCTCACATGGGCCATCACGTGACTGATGTGAAATTAATAGCATAAGGAAAAGCTAGGTGTGAAGAAAGGTCATGGTAGGGTAATGTCCATAATGATGATGAGAGAAGATTAAAGTAGGATAGGAGGGTGAGCCTGAGTTCCATGTAAATTTGTAGCAGGACATGTTGCGGAATAGTAGCATCCATGTGCTTTCGCATAAACAGGAGAATAAATTGGAGGATAGGAAACCAATTGTCATTGTCTGTGCCATATGCATGCATTAATGATTCTTTATAGTAGTAACCTGAATTCATTGCGAGCATTCAAAGTCGTCTGCCTCTCTCTCTCTCTCTCTCTCTGTCTGTCTGCGTGTTTGTGTGTGTGTAACACTCATTATGATTTTACTGTACAATGGTACTTCAAATTTTGGGGCTGCCTTTCTCGTAATCTTTGAACATGGTATATCATTTTGTATTTGATTGTAATATATATTGTTTTATACTATATGTTTGTGTTCTTACCCAGTATGCAATCTTTGAGAACAGGATGCAATTGCAGGCCTTTCTTCAATGTTTTCTGATACTTCGTTAGTAGTGTGTTTTACTGTGATAATTATGGCTGCTGCTGCTGCTTTTTATTTTTTATTTTTAGAAAAAAAAATTACAATCAAATAATTCCAAATCTGATAAAGCTACTTGAAAGTAGTTATATGTATCAAAAAATAAAATTAATATTTTGCAATAAATCTAGAAAGTAATAAAGCTCCCAAATTTGGATTTGCTGGTTTGGAGAGGAGTTATGATGCCGTATTGTCTGCTTGTCCATTTCCTGCTTCTCTTTAATACCCAACTATTTAAGGGTAAAGGTAGAGGTTACTGCTAGTATGTCTGTGTTTTAACCGTATTTACTTTAATTCCAATCCTTCATCTTGAATATATATATATAGATTACACAAATAACCACCAAATGGCTATTTACTGTTTTAAGTTAATGTGCGCTTCCCCCTTTGGTATCAGAGCCATTTGGTGGTTATTTGTGTAATCTATACTGTTTCTTTTCTTTCTTATATTGATCTGTTGATTCAGTTTTAACATTCTATTCACTGTTTCTCACTTTGTTATTCTATTTCCCTTCCTGTGAGTCCGGATCCAAACAGTAAGTCCTAGATCCAAACAGTAAGACCCAAGAGAGGCCTGAGCGGTGCGGCATGAGCGGATGAGCGCGTGGATAGGATTTAGATACCACTAAGAGAGAACCATGAAGATAGTCTGTTTTAACTAGTCAACCTATCAAGCATAGTGAGAGTCAAGCAAACATGAACAGGTTATTTAGATTTTCCTCCTCTATGAGCTCCAGATCCAGAGCCAGTACTAGTCTTCTTCCAATTCCAAACATAGTTAATGAAGAAAATTACTGAGTTGAAGATGTTAGTCTAGATTTTAGTGATTGGAACATCCCCAGGATTCCAACCAGAGAAATTTACAAAACCAGTTTCTTTAAGTCAACCTTCCTTAGTGATTATACAGTCAAAACCGTAGAACAAATTTATTCATTGTCTAAGGAACATGAAAAATGTCAGTTATTCACAGCTCAAGCAATCAAAAGTCACAGAGATCGTGGGTACAACTTTATACACGTAGGTCTAGTCCAAGTGGCAGTCAACCCATTCACTAATGTTGGTCTTAATACCTCGGTCCTCTTAGCCCTTCGTGATGCTAGATTCCTAGATTACAATGATAGTCTTCTGGGAATAGTTGAAACAAGTCTCTGTAATGGTCCAGTTCATTTCAATTGTTACCCTGATGTTACTCTCAGTCTCACTGATCCCCATCTACTAAAAGCTTTAACCCTTAATGTTAAAATTTCTGGTTACAAGATGCTCCCTGGATCACAACCCTTAGGTATGATCTACAGAATCTATTACAAAACCAGAAAAACCAACCTTAATGTCAACACCCTTAAGAAAGATATCAAAGGTCATACCCTACTCATTGAAAGTAGCACTCCAGATGCTAATATTCAATTTAAGAAAACTATAGCCTGGAAAGACATTTCTTTACTCAATAAATGGGTTCTTGAGAATGAAAACCATCCAGTTAAAATACAAAATGATTTTAGTCACCTTGATAGAGTTTAGGAATTTATTGACGGAACAGTCAGAATAAGTTTTGATGAACAACGCCTTCTGACTCGATCTCGCCCCTCTACTTCTTCCATTAGATCTGATGTACATCTAATGGACAGAGAAAGTGAAATTCCTCCTCTAGAAAGAAAAAAATTCTAGATTCCATCCGCAACCACAGGACACGAAGTTAAAAGGAATTCAAATCGAAGAACAAGTTGCTCACCCTTGCTATGTTCCTCCTAAACATAAATCTGAGCCTACCTCTCCTATTCCTTCTGATCTTATAGGCGAATTTAACACAATAAACCCTCAGTTAACTACCATAAGTAAACCTTTTAGATATAATCTTTCAAAATTACATAATGAATACTCTTCCCCTAGTAATAAGAAAATCGAAAATCCTTTCGCAAAAATCATACTGTCAAAGAACAACAACAGGTTCTCCATTATTGGCAAAGATTTATGACAGAATATCAACTAGAAATCAAAATTTTTGATTATCTGGAAAATTGTTATAATCAAGTCAATGTCTTCACCAAAGTTAATTGGAAAACTTCTGATACAACTACAGTTTCCTCTTCCCATCCTCCTTTGGAGAATGTAATTCTTGATCACATGGGAACTGAAATCGCTGCTTCTCCTTTAAAAACCAGTACCTCAGCTAATTCCAATACCAGAAAAATAATTGAACAAAATAATTACACCAACCAATATTTACACACCATTGATAACCAACTTGACAGGATTGAGCTCTCTCTAACTCAGTCTCCAAAACTTGCAGTCAAGCCTCCTATTACTCATCCCATAGAAACACCCATTATTTCCATGCCCACAAACAGGAAAGGTCTTCCACCTGCCTTGCCAGACCCTTATGTAATCAATCAAATTGAATCTATTCTCAAGTCCCTTGAAAAAGGTAAAGCCAAAGTCAAAGAAGAAAAAGATGAGAAAATTCTCACTGTCATGAATGATCCTGATAATTCTGATAGTTCTTCTTCTACTAGTTACCCTTCTGATATTCAGCAAATTAAAACTGCTTTCTCCAATTTTGAACTCAATCGTCTTACCAACATAAGAGTCAAACCTACCAGTCTCACCAAAAATTGGTGTCCTAGACCCACTCCTCCAGACCTCCAATTTGAGGAAAAGAATATTCAAAATCAGTTTTCTGTTTCTTCAGATAAACTCTATGAATGGAATATAGGTGGATTATCTGAACAAGAGATTCTTAATAAACTTAGTCATATATCTATGGTAGCCAATAATTATGTCACTACCTATAATCTAAGTCAACCAGAAATTGTTGATCTGCTCACTTCGGGATTCTCAGGAATGTTGAAGTCCTGGTGGGAAAAACATCTCACTGAAGAATCTCGTAATAACATTAAAAATGCTGTTTAAAGAGATAATAATGCTCTTCCTATCTTTGATGAAACTATAGGACGTGGTATCCCTGATGGAGTTAACACATTAATATATACCATAGTTGACCATTTCATTGGTACTCCAAGTAATATCACCTCCAGAATACATGACCAGCTTACCAATCTCACTTGTCCAACCATGAGTGATTTTCGGTG